GCGGCGGACAGGACCCGCTGCATGGCGTCTCCTCGCCCGCCGCCGCGGAGCTCTCGCAGGCCGGGCGGTGGGGGGCAGGCATGCGCAGTCGATGCCCGACGCCGGAGCGCCGAGCGCGCGGAGCGCTTGCTCCTGTCCTGCGTTTTTTCTGCGTCTTCTATTTTATTTTCCTTTTCTTTCCACCCTCTTTTCCTCCCAGCCACCCCCCCTTTTTTATACCTGCTCTCAGACAAAATGTCACCTCTGAGAACGCCTAGTCTCTTGTCCCAAGGGAGTTCTAACCGCTCCACCTTGCCCCAGGGTGCACGCCTCTTAAAAGTTTGGCGTGATTGAACTGGCCAGATTCCTTACCAGACTCACTTACTAGTGGATCTTCAGCTTTTGGAGCAGCCCCTGGCACGCACTGAGCATCTTTTTTTTTTTTTTTTTTTTTTTTTTTTTTCTCATACCATCTCCCTTTATGTCTCAGTTTATTTCTTCCCATTTCCCTAAGCTCTTAAGCGCTAACTTCTGGAGATCTAGCTCTACAACTCATGAACCATAAAAAGTTGGGTTAAGTTGGGTTAAGAGCAAGAGGCAGGAGGGGAGCAGGTGATTTTAAAAGAGCAGAATGAAGGATCCTTGTGATGGTGGAAATGTTCTGCATCTGTTAACTTCAAAAAATTTTATTAGTAAATGTTTGCAGTATATGCAGTTTACAGTGATCTTGGGGAGTGGGTACATATACATACTGCAGCTTTTTTTTTTTTAATTCCTGTTCCCTTCTCTCCCTCTACCTGTAATTCCCCTTTCCTGATCTTTTTCTGGGGGCAGGGGGAACCTGGAATCGAACTGGGGACCTGGCGCTTGCCAGGCATGCACCGTGCCTCTGAACTATATCCCTGCCCCCCCGACTTTTACTCTTGTTGACTTTATTAATCTTAGTTCTTGTTATGGCATAGAATGTTTACGTTCACTGAGGTCATTGGGTGCCTGCACGTGGCTGTCTTTATTCTACTTGTTTCCGCTTCCCCTCCTCCTGACCCTTCTTCCTTGGCCCTGGACCACTTCCCTATTGCGAGGGATCCATCCCCTTGTCCCTTTCTATCCATCCTTTATTATTCTGTTGGTATTTTGCCTCACATAAATGAGAGATACCACATGGTATTTAAGGTGGTATGTCTGGTTTATTTCACTCAACATATTTTCCATGTGCACCATTTTCCTACAAATGTCACAAATTTGTCATTCTTTATAGCTGAGTAGTATTCCATTATATATAGGTACAACGTTTTCTTTATTCAATCATACCGGCTGCTTCCAGGATCTAGCTATTACAAGTTGTCCTTCTATAAACATTGGTATGGATGTATCACTGTAGTATGATAACTTAAGCCCTTTGGGGAAGATACCTACCAGGGAGATAGCAGAGTTGTATGGCATTTCTAATTTTAGTTCTTTGGGAAATCTCCACACCGATTTGCATAGTGGTTGTACTGGTTTACATTCCCGGTAACAATGTAAGAGGGTTCCTTTTTCACCACAGTGTTTGGTACTGTTTTCCTAATAAATGCCATTCTTTCTGAGTACGGTGGAACTTTAGCATTGTTTAATTTGCACTTCTCTAATGGCCAGAGATGAACATTTCTTCATATATTCGCTGAATTGTCTGCATCTTGACTGTGTGTCATTGTCAGTATGCTGGCTATAAGGCCGCACTAAAGTTTTGCAAGAGGATATCGTGGGTAAAGCTGGGTGGAGAGGACACAGGATCTCTGTGTGTTAGAATTACATGTGAATGTACATTTTCTCAAAACAAATCATTTAATTAAAAAGTATGAACCAGGAGAAATATTCTGAGACTCAAATATAATCATAGCTATCCAATTACTCAAAATACTTTAAAACTCCCTTTATCAATAAAAGAAGTTCCACACACTGCTGGTTAGATATGTGGAAGGATCCTCTGTTGAGGAAAAAAAAAGGTTTATTTTCCAGAACTGGGTTCACCGCCAAGAAATGAACTTCATTTCTTCTTTTGCCAAGAGGGGCTCTGGCTTCTGATTCCTGGAGGTCTGGGCACTTCTGACCCCCAAAAGAGTAGTTAATGACTGTAACTGCTTATTTGAGAGGCCTCAAGCCACTAACATAGACATAGAAGGTTTGGTTTTCCCTAACAACCGCCACCTGTTTTTTTCCCGTACACTCCCCATCTAGGTAGAGAGCAACCTCAGTGGTAGTTGCATCTGTTCCAGTACCTTTTGGTCATAGCTAGTTATCAAGACAGTAATTTCCTGTAAATATCAGCTGCTGCAGGAACTGTTTCCTCTGCCACATCCAGGGCAAGGCCCCCTTCCGAAGAGCTGAGCGGGTCCTCTTGAAGCTATGGGAGAGGTCGTGGAAGAAGGGGACTGAGAGTAGTGCAGGGAGGGGTTTGCCTGCCTGCTTATGCCTCCTTTCTGTCTTTCTCAGTCCCCTACACCCATACTCACTATTGAGGGACAGTGGAGGGGAACGGAGGAGACAGACACCAGTGGTTGCTGCAGCATCCAAGCCTGCAGCCCTGGGCCTGGGCCACACAGCTGCAGATCCTGTGGAGGCTGCCGTCAGAGTCATTAGCAGGAGCTACGAAAGACCTTGGCTTTCAGAAGGTCAGTGAAGGGCCCCTAGACTCAGTGGGGGGTGATGAACCTAGAGAGGATTCCCACCTTCAAATACTTCTCAGTACACTGTAGCTGCGGTGACTACAGGCTGAGGACCCATATGTTTCTGAGGTTCTTCATACTTTGGAGGGATCTTCTCTCCCCCCAAAAAAGATTGGGTGCTTTTAACTAACTTTGGGGTGGGTATAGTTGTATTCAATTGGATTTATATAAATAAAAATAAATAAAAATACCTGCATCCTAAGCCCTGTGGCCACGGACATTTTTATGAATGAGGACTCATATGTGCTATACTCCTCAGCAGTGAATCAGGGTGTGGTGGATGTCTGCCATTATTGTGGTCCTCCTCATTTGAACTTGACTCTGAAGAATTTCCTGTCTTAGGAAACCCGCCTTCCTAACAAGTGACAATAGTAACAGCCAATACTTGCAGAGTGCCTTGTGCCGGCCACAGTTCCAAGCACTTTAAAGTAACATCTAATTTAAGCAGTGTAACAACTCAAAAGGTAGCCAGTGTTATTCTTGTTAGACAGATAGACATTCGTAGGCCTAAGGCGCAAAGGGGGGTGTCCCAAAATGGCATACATTTCCAGTAAATTCAAGAAAGACTTTGATACATAATGCACTTATAATCATTTGTTAGGTCTCAGAAATAAAATGATCCCACAGAGCACACTGCCATCTTAAGGTTTATATGGTGGATGTTCCTTCTGATATCTGGGCCCTGGCCATCTAACTCCAGGAAAGACACACTGCCTACAGCCCAGTGATACCAGGAAGGCAAGTGTTCTTTAAAGAACCCCCTGCCTGGGGTGGCGACTTGATTTCAGTGAAGAATTTATCTTTTATAAGTTTCTTCCATGATTAAAGCCTTTGAGGAAACACTGACCATCTAAAAAGGACAGGAAGACATCTTATAATTCTTAAGTAACTTCTAAGAAAAATCGTGACAAGTGTCCTAATTACTGCAGTTCCGCAGACCCCATGGGTAACTCTCGGGTGCATAAAAATGAATCCAGACTCACACTTCATGGCACTGGCTGCCTTTCCACTTGAAGGTGTAACTGTGTATCTGTGTTACAATAGTCTTTATGGCCGATGTGTCTTGACTAAATTCTTCTATCAAGGGCACAAAGAATCAAGAACCAAGGAAGTGAGGAGCTGGTTCCTTGCTACACCAGGACCTGGCTTCCCAGTAACAATCCTCGGTGCCACTTTACAGGTGAGGAAACGGAAGTCCAGGAGGTTAAGGGATTTGCTCAAAGTTCCACAGCCGGTGGCTGGTGGCCCAGTTTGCATTCTAAGTCTTCTGGCTCCTGGCAGCAAATGTGTGAAGTGGTTCCCTCCAGTCAGAGGCACGTAGTTTTGGAAGCTGGCGGTGCCATCGAGGGCAGCGGCTGAGATGTTCCGTAGCATGGCCAGTGCCCATGGGGCTGGCAGGGCTGCCCTACCAGGCCCACTGCTGTCCCTGTAGCATCCTCCAGCTTCTGAAAGCACCCAAATACTAGAAACCTCTGTCTGTGTCTCCTTTACACCTTCTATCCCAGCATAATTACCACGTTCCTCTTTCCCTCTCAGATAAGGGCGTAAAACATACTGCCATCCCATGCAATACGGTTTCGTGAGTTTTCTACCTTAACTGAGGCAGGAGAGAAGAAATAAAATCTACATGAAAAGATGAGGAAATTTTGAGATTTTACAATTGTACTTAAGACACAAAAGTTACCACTTCCAGAAATCCTAAAGGTGTTAGAGACACAAGAAGCCTAAATACCAGGCTCTGGATCTGTCTTTGTCACCCAGAAATTGTGCTGCTTCTACCTCCAAGGAAGCAGCAGTATTGGTGCACAGCACAGCTCAACTTCAGTGACCTGTAGATGGCCTGCACTCCGCCTGACCTGCCAGACAGTAGAAACACGCATCCTAGATCACCCCTTAAATATACCCAGCCCTGGCTTGTAGTGCGTCTCACTTCTCTCAGTGCTCCTACTCTACTTTTTTTATTAGTATATGCAGTACATAATGATTGCATTTATGGTGGGGAGTTTGTACGTGTACATGATGTCTAACGTCCCTTCGCCTC